GGAAAGTATTAAGACTTTATTAGCAAGGAAGTATAAAAACTTCTTGCGAACATCTTTTTTGTGTGTGGTCAGAGGATTAGCGGAAAGAGTTGATTCAAAGTAAGAATTATGGATTTTCTTTCAAGACACTACTAAGGTATATAACACAATATCTCTTTTCATACTTAAAAAAGTCATAGATTAGATTCAAATTTCAATAACTATTAAGAAGATTATAATAGATTTCTTTAAAGACAGAAGTTGTAATATTATTCTTTCCAATAAACTTTCTAATCCAATAATTGCTGGAGATAGTATAAATTAAAGAAAAATAATCTTTTCACTATTATGAAGAATTTTCTATAATCTATTGTTATATAAAATTCAAAACAATATTAAACTAGATTATACTATAGAAGAAGAATAGTCACTCAATTTTTATAAACTAGAAGAAAAAGTTAAGCTTTTTCTAAGGCAGTCAGTAATTGTCTATATAAATGATGTAATTTAAATTATCAAATTAAAGAAGTTTTATATAGCAAATAACTTATAAATTAATGTAACAAAGTCAATTTTTCTTACCATTAATTAAAATTCTCAAGATCTTGAAATAGTTTAAGCTAAAATGTAAGATATTATAGTTCATAAGATTATAAAAAGGATCAGACTAAATTTCTTGGTATCTAATTGAAACTAAAACAAAAAAATCAAATCATGTTTAATTTAATAAAAATCAAAAATCAGGATAGTGGTTCAAGCAATAATTAAGCAAAAGTTATCAGAAAAATATTAATTCAAAGAATAAAATATAGATTACAATATATTCACTTGAATAAAAAAAATATATAATAATCTAACAATTATATTCTGAAAGATTTTCAAAAACAAAATCTTAATCTATAAAACAATTCTAAATAGTTACATCTATAACAAAGAAATCTATAGTCTCAAAAGTATTTGGAAAATACAGTTGAAAAGTTATATATTAATATCAACTCAACAACAGTAAGATCTTTGATATAGTTACTATAATCTGGTTGAAACAAAGTCAGATTAAAGGCTGAAAATCTGAAAATATCTTAGATAATTTTGTAAACTTATACAAGCTAATCAAAGGCAATCTGGCAACTGCAATATTGATCCTGACCAAAAATCCACAAACTACCTTTCAAAGCCAAAGATAAAAAGAAACCTTTGATTATCAGAAAGATATTCTATCTATTAAATCAATACAATAAAATAGTAAAAAATATAAGAAAGTTATTCAATTTCTATATAAATATAAAATTATATTCCTAGATCAAATTATCAATATAACTATGATGATACTTAAGAAATAAAGAGCAATTTAGATTCTCTTCAATAAATATAAAGAATCTGTCCTCTCTTAGTATAAAAAGGTTTATGAAAAGATGATAAAAAATTAAGATCTCTTAGAAAATCATTACATAAACTAGACTAGATAGGCTATAATGTGCAAATTGAAATATTTCTAACATATTTAAATAGAAAGAAAATATACCAAGCAGTTCACTTCAGCATGTCAACTAATTATCATATAAATCTACTAGAAATTATATTCTATTTTATTTAGATAGAGTATCTTAAGCATTAGAAGTAGTCCTATTACAAATTCATCTTCTTATACAACTAAATATATATGAAAATTTGAAAAAAGGAAAATAGTTTTTCTGTCAGGCAACCCCACAAATTGACAAATAACTACAAGGTAATATATGTTAACTTTATTTATTTTTAAATCTATAAAAATGGAAATCCAGATGGAAAATCAAAAAGCTATACTAATAAAATAAACTATTCAATTAGATTAATATATACTATATATGAATTTATAAATATCTTGCAATACAATAAAAGAAGCATGAAATTCAATTTCCCAACTGAGAGCTTTGATAATTATTATTAAAACTGCAGTAGTGACTTATAGGTAATGATATTAAGAGTTGAAAGGAGTTTCATCTAAACTCTCAATGAAGTATTAAATTACTTCCAAAGTTGTACTTAAAGTAGTAATTACAAATACGAATGAGCTAGTTAGCATTTTTTAGCTTTAGCGATTCATATTATATGTATAGTTTACAAATGTTTAATAAAGCACATATAACTAGCCTGACAGAGGGTTAAAAAAAAAATAGAAAAAGCATGACTAATCAGATTATTTTTTATATAGATGGCTTCTATAAAAAATGAACAAAAGATATTAAACTTAAAATAAATTTTGCTTGGATTCTAATAGAGGATAACAAAGTTGAAAACTAATTTTCAGTAAGAATATTAATATGACTATTGACAATTAGGACAAAAACACTGATCATTTTTATTATATTATATATAACTTTTTAAAATAAAATGGTTTCAATTTTCATTGATTATAATATTGTAATTAAGAAATGAAAGTCCATCAGTTCATAAATTAAAATATTAATAAGAAAATAGATAAAGATTATTAACTAACCAATATGAAATAAGCTCAAAAATTTAGTAAAAAAGAAAGACATTACCTTGGAAATTATGAAGATTAAAGCTCATGTAATTAATAAGTTCAATAATTAGGTAAATCTACTTATTAAACAAGTTAGATATAAGAATCTGATAATTTGAATCAACTACCAGAGTTAGTAAAAGTTCTTATAATAGCTATATGGAATAAATATTCAATAGAAATTAGTATTAGAAAACTTATCAAAATATTTAACAAAAAAGAATTGAGAAAAACTAAACAATACAGAAAAGAAATAAAAAATTATGGATTCAAAATAATAAAATTATAGATTGATTAACCTTCTAAAATTAGTTCAATCTATTTAATATCTTTGATACCTCCTTCAAAGTTAATAAAAACAAAAGTTTTCTAATTAACTAAATTTACAATGAACTTCTAGTATTACAAATACTTAAGAAAAGGAAACTGGATATTTATACTATAATAATTTGCCCATTATGTAAACTTCAAGAAGAGACATTAGAATATTCTTTTAAATGTTCAGCTATCAAAGAAGTCAAAAAAGATATATGATAAAAAGCAAAAGAAAAGATCAATCACTATATTAATAAAAAAATAAAAGATAAAAAAGAAGTTTACTTTATAATTAATGATTAAATAAGTAAATAATTAAACAAGATCCAATAATTTAATAAAAGTTTTTTTAATATTTTCTGTAAATATATAGAAGAAAATGAAATCACTTTCTTAAAGAATTATATTAAAATATAACTTAAAATTTCTTTAATATTTACATAGATTATACTTAATAAGCTTTGTTATAAAATGAGAAAAAACTTTAAGAAGAAATCTAAAACAGTTACTATACTAAAATAATAAAATGAAAAAAGAAGTATAATATTATTGAAGAGAAAAAAAGATCTAAAAAACCTAAGTATAAATCCAATACATAGATTATATGAGAATAGAAAGAACCTTTTAACACCCTTAAAAGACCTGAAATAGAAAGCTTTCAAAAGAAAGGAGGAAAAAAAGTATATGGAAATCATTAAGAATTGGATTTGTTATAGAACAAAATAGTTCAATTTTTAACTGCAAACAGAATTTAAAATGATCTACAATAATAATCTGCAGATATGATTTTATTGATTAGAGGATTCATCCAAGTCAATAAAGGAATAAAATATCATTTCCTAAGGTGCATCTAAAGAAATAATTTTTCGATGACAGATGAGTTAGTATATGAAAGTCAAAATATCTTGTAAATACCTTTGTATTTATACAATAAAGACATGTCATACTGACCTAACTGTGAATTAAATATATATATATATATATAAACTTGCAAATGTGATGTGTTATTATTTTCATTTCTAATGTAAAAATAAACCAATCTTTTATTAAAAAGAATCTTTGCAGTAGAACAGCAAAATATAATCATTACAAATCATTACAAAGCATACCATTATATATAAAACATATATACAAATGGCCCTTATTATATGAACATATTTTTACAAACTTAAGTAATAATTACACTTTAAAAATTTTTCTCAATAAAAGACACGTTCACAAATTAGCAGACATTGCATTTTTATCCTACAACTCATTACCAATAGTCACCCAATAATCTCTTAAATTGTTCTTTCTACCAAATATCTCCAAATACTTTCCTGAATATTATACAGTAAATTTTAAGAAGAATATAAGTAAGTTAATCTTATTGTACGCTAAAAGCTGCGAGCCAATAAAAAAAACATTGAACGATACTCTACCATTTGGGACCAGTTCTTCAATCATTTCATACAATTCCTCGGGTTTTTGACTTTGTCCGCGCCTTTCAGAAAATATTACATCGGATGAGATGGAATGATTACATCCTGGTGGATCTTCACCCTAATAATTGCGATCGAATATCACTAAACAATGTTCTTCAAAACATTGGATGTGCATATCATATCAGAAATAATAACAGACCTTCCTTCCCATTAAACAAGTTTCTTTTGCATGTTGTAAATAAAATCCGTGACCTTTAGCCATCCTTCTATTTACAGTTTGCTTCACCCATGTGATGTCATCACAATACCTTAAGGTTATTTAATGGAAAAATAAATATAAAATAAAAATAAAATGCATAAATCCTTTAATGAAACGCACATACTTGGAACAATTAAGAGATACTTACGTGTAACCCCATTTTTTCATCATTTCAAAAGCCTTGGAATATTTATTATTGATCACCCAAATAAACAGGAACCCATTTTTTTGTAATTTAGGTATAGGCAATTCTTCTATACAAATATCGGGCAGCTGTTGATAGGCTATTGCTACCTTTTAATTTGCGAAATACCGCGTTAGTCAGGTAAGAACAGAACGCATGTAGGGATTGCTAGAGCACAAATATACACACGCACACACAAAAAAAAAAAAAAACTAATATACTTTACACCACGAGTCGGAGCATGAGTAGCTAATTGCCACGGAGGATCCATCAAAATTACATCAAATTGACATTCTTTGGACAATAGCTAATTTCAAGGAAACAATAATTGTTTGTAAAAAGCACAGTTAGCTTAGATGCCTGTACAAAAAGATTTGGGTCGTTACAGTAAAATACAAACTAAAGTTGAATAGTAAATGGCAATACTTGCATCCCATTCGAATGTCAACACGTCAGCTTTTATAGGTATACACCATTCGGGCGCTTTGAATTCTTCCCAACGAAGATCTGGAATATAATAAAAAAGAATGCTGCTTTTTATTCTATTCGAGATTTATCCTCTGATTTTCGAATTTCAACCTACTCTCATTATCAGCATTATTTTCGGTCACTTCATTGTCTGCGTCATGCTTGCTACTGCCGCCACCATTATCAACTTCCCTACTACTATTTACTCCACATCTGATCAGAGAAGTCTCTAATTGTGAAATCTCTTCTACTAATTCATCAATTTGCAATCGCAATTCCGTTTCTCTATTTAGTAAGTATCGCAGTTGCGTATCCAGTGTAGTATCAGAAAATACTCTTGTCGAATTGTTGTCATTATCGAGGGTAGATAGGTTCGAGGGTGAAGGTGGTAAGTCTGGGTTAGCGATTCCGTAATTTGACATGTTGACTTTTTCTTTCCTTGCTCGTTGTTTGTCGCGTAGTGTTCCGTCAAGATAAGGGTTAAATTTTTTTACTACATATCAATATTTGGAGATCAGGTATTTATAGAAATCTTGATGACGTGACGAGCATTCTGTCGCGTCGCTCTTTTCATGAAAATTTCCTTGGGTAACTCATCTTCCCAAGGTTTATGATGCAATTTTTCAACAGGAAAGTTTATGTAATAACTATATTACATGCTTTTTCTTTAATGTTATAGTTTTAACCAATTAAAATTTATTTAATTTAATATGGGGGCTATTGTCTAGATCACGTGACACGTTGCATAACTCATTTCGCATAATCATCTTGATATGTTTTGATAACCAAGTCTGACAGATCAACATCGGTTCCAGGTTCAATAAGAAACGGACTCGCCAATTCGAATTGCCTGGATTGAGTTGAATAAAATGAGAAGAGATAATTTAGTAAATAAACAATGCTTTTCCGGAAAACCAACTGAATTCGGACGAAACAAGATATCTACTCTGGATATGCGAATCGATACATTGGGGGAGGTCGTGCTTCCTTTATAAGCAAACTGATTTTTATTTCATTATTAGAAACGCTTCTAAGTAATGCTCAAAACTGAAATAATAAAAACCTACTTGTCTTTCGCATTGTCAGCTTTATACTTGATGTTATTTAGGGCAATTCGTTTCCATTCAGATTCAGGAGTCATCGATGATTCTATAAACTGAAAGATACAACACATTAACCATGGTCAATCATCTCTTGTGGGATTGCACACGATAAATTTGAATCTGCCGCTAACTTCGGTGATAGGATGTCTCCTCTGAAAGAAAAAGAGTTATGTCAGTCAGCTTCTTTAAAGGATCCAAGGAAAATAAATCTTATTGACATGCCTCGCCGTGTTTTGTAAGGTAGTTATCGAGATGATACCAAGAGAATCCGATTAGACACAGTATCAGTGTATTTCTCCATACGGGCGAACCAAATCCTGTCGAATAATAGATGAGCACAGCCTTCCGTAAAAAAGAATATGTTTACACTGTTTAAAGCGACATGAACCTTCTTTACGAACTTCTTGATTAGTTTCTGAAACATAATGACGGGCAAATTGTCGTCTACTCGCGGGGGCAGCAAAGAGAGAAAATTGGATTTGCCGAAGGCGGTTCATTTATCTTGATGGTTATGTATCAAATGTTAAATAAAAAAGTACGACTATTATGATAAATAAGGGTTATTACGTATTACAGATTCAACACTACAAATTTTTTATCGTGCCAATCAGTTCCAAGCACAAGAAATTTTTTATAACACGAAATGTTTCGAACATATTCAAGAACCACCTCAATTCTTAGTATAGTAAAACAAAGAATTATCGAAGCGCGTGAGTTGTAACTATAGATTATTCGATAAAAGTAAAGAAATTGGCGAAAAATTTTTTTCCTTTTTTCTACTAATGCAATATCACAAAATTTTTACTTAATTTTCGTTACTTGTTATCCTACGAAATTAGATTCTTTGGCTCTTCTTAATTCGACGAAACCCTGCAGCTTTTTTTCTAGAGATGTTACCACTTCACCAAATGGCAAAAGGTTAGAGATTAGATATTTCATTGAAGGAGAATCACGTGATATAGATGATAAATTGACTTGCCTGTTTCGTAGTCCCACGGCTATTTTGCTAATGAATTTAGGTGGACCGTCTGAATTAGAAGGGGTACATAATTTTCTCGAGAGGTTATTTTCGGACCCGGATTTAATTCCTATCCCGTTTCAAAAACATTTGGCTCCGGTGATAGCGAAACGCAGAACGCCCAGAATTCAGGATCAATATGCGAAGATTGGCGGTGGTTCGCCAATACTATTTTGGACCGAAAAGCAGGGCAGCGCTTTAGAAAAATTGTTGGATGACATTTGTCCTGAGACGGGTATTTGTTTTTATGTTTTATTTTTTTACGCATGAGTAACAGTAATTGTCATTGTCCTAATTACTACCAAATTAAAAAGCGCCACATAAGTCGTACATAGCATTTCGCTACGCTCCGCCACTAACAGAAGACGCTGTGGTGCAAATGAAAAAAGATGGCGTAAGGCGCGCGGTTGCTTTCACTCAATACCCTCAATATTCTTGTTCAACCACCGGCAGTAGTCTTAACGAACTGTGCAGAAAATTGAAATTACTTGATCCCGAACGATCGATTCGATGGAGCGTGATTGATAGGTGGCCGACTCACCATGGATTGATTGAGGTATAAAACTTATGTCGTTAAAGTCCCGATTTTACGCTATAGGTTAACTGATCGACAGCACTAAATATCCCTACGTTTTAAAGACATTCGCAGAACACATTCGGAAATCCTTGGAAACCTACTCATCTGAGATTCGCGACAATGTAATTCTCTTATTTTCGGCGCATTCACTTCCAATGACGGTAGTGAATCGTGGTGACACTTACACATCTGAGGTAGCAGCAACCGTACACGCGGTAATGGAACGTCTTGCATTCTCGAATCCGTACCGATTAGTGTGGCAATCTCAGGTAGGACCTCGAGCATGGCAAGGTCCACAAACCAAAGATGTGATTTTGGAATTTGGCAAACGGGGAGAAAAAGATATTCTGTTGATCCCAATTGCGTTCACAAGCGATCACATTGAGACGTTGTTTGAATTAGATTTGGAATACGCTCATGAAGCCAAGAAGGTATATATAGCCATGACATTTTGTATCGATTTTGTACCATTTCTTTGGAATCACTTCAAAATAAAACTCTATTGGCAGGCAGGAATTACCGGATTAAAACGCGCAGAATCATTAAATGATGATCCAAAATTTATAAAAGCATTAGCTGACTTGGTCCAAGCACACTTGAAATCAGGAAAATCTGTTTCTACTCAATTTTTACTGAGGTGCCCGAAATGCGAAAAAGTTTCGTGTCAAAACACAAGGGATTATTTTTGTAAACAAATAAATTAATCGAGAATTGTCCGAATTTTAAACGATAGTTCGTGGTGGAATTAATCTAATTTTTAATTTTAATTCATCAAATAAAAAAAAGGTTTTTGGATTTGAGATAATTGCATAATACGTATTATTGAATAGGTGTATCATCGACTTTATCATAAATGCAGTAAATTCTATTTGTTTTTTTTTTTGACCCGAGGTCAAGCTTGTCTTTTATTTGTAAAATATGCATAAAGTAAGATATTTACGCAGTACTGTATATATATTAGCTCATTCATCATTGAACTGTGTTTACTTTGGATCCTTTGAGGTGAATTGTTTGTAGCATATTGGTTTCAGGCATACATGTTTTTTTTTTTGAAAAAGCTAGGTTGAGAGAAAGGATCCTGTCTGGTGTATTATGGATTTTGAAGACCCTAGAGGTGAGGTTAGGGGTGAGGCTAATCATTATATTCTATTCAAAAATAAATGTGTTGTGAAACCACCAAGTCTTGTAAATGTTAGATTGCCAATGAAATAATATCTTGGAATTTTCATTTGTTTTGGTGGTAATTATTACATCTCAGAGATTGTCTATATAGTATTGAATCTATAATTATTATTTTTTTGCTTTCAATAATAAACCTTATAAGTTTCTAGTGTTGATTTTCATGAATGTTTGCTAAGAGTTGTGAAGTATCATATTAAGGTTAAATTGTATTGATTATATGTTATATTGGTTCATTAAGAAAGAGAACTTTTGAAGATGTTACCATATTATATTTAGTAGTATTGCAATTACTTATTTATTAGATGAATTGGAAAGTTATATTCATATCAGATAATCAATTTATAAAATTGAATATTTGTTGTTGATATATTGCTGTAATTTGAAAAATGAATAATTTTAATTTTATCTATTTGTGTTTTAAGTTTTGTTATATTTATCTAATGTTTTGAGTTGAACTTATAACTCTATATTTTTATAAAATATTGAATAAAATAATTTATGTATTATTATTTTTTATGATATTATTATAAGTTGAAATTGTAAAATTTTTTTTAATTTTATTGTTAAAGTATACTTATAATTCATCTTTAATATAATTAATGTAATTATTGATTTTCTATAATTGTTGTTTAATAGATTTAATTTTTTATACTAGTTATTGTAATATAAAAAAATATTTTCTGTTTATATTTGAATTATATTTATATTTAAAAAAATATTTGTTGATTTAGAAAAAAAAATTTTTTTAATAATATCTACAAATAATAATATGTTATTTATAAAATATTTGAATTGTTTAAAGTTAATAAATATATCTGTTGATAAAGATGGGTCCCTAAAGGGTGAGGTAAGGACAAAAGTCAAATGTCCCTCACTAGAAAACATTAAAAATTTTAAATTAATAACTATAAAAAAACTATCCACAATTGTTCTTCATTACTCAAATTATTGATTTATAGTATTTTCTAACTTTTGTTCCTATTAAAATAAAGAGCTATGAATTTTGTCCTTCAAAAAGGGACATATGTGATCTGCAAAATTTTATATGCTAAATACTTTAGGGACTCATAATTACCTTTAATTTATATCTTTTTATATATGTGATCAAATTTTTTGATATTTACTTATTTTTAAATAGTAATTTATTTTTTTTTTTTTGTTTTTTATTGAATATTTTTTATTTGATATTTATTACTGAAACAAATATTATATGTTTAAATTTTGGAATTTATTTAATATAATTCAATATTTTAAAAAAATAGGTTGATATTTAGCATACTTATCATAAATTCTTTATCCTGAAAGTCTAGAATTGCAAATTATTTTTTTCTACAGTTGATAGAGCAAGAAATATAACATATTTGTATTTTAATATCTAATATTAAATAGAAAATTGATGTACTCTTTCTGATCCACTTTTTTCTTAAAAAAATTTCATTTTTAGCAATTTTTGGAAAAAGTAAACCTGGTCAAACACACAAGGAAAAACAAAATATCTTTTAAATTAAGCTATCAAGCTCTTGCAATATATATACAACAAGTCTTTTAGAAACACCAAGAAAAGAGGTATATATTGTTTTACTAATTTTCTTTTATTTTTTTTTCTTAAAATTTTTTGAAGAAAGAAAAGAGACCTGTAAACAGATTCATAGTCAGAAAAAGTGAGCCAATATCAGCTTTACAAAGCTTATAGCTAGGCCAGTGCAGGTTAACATCTTTCTTAACATTGCAAGAAATCCAAGAAGCAACTAGGTTTACTCAATAAATCAAGTTATTTCAATCACTCAAAGATTCACAAGGATATTAAAGCTTCCTAAGGATATAACAATCTAAATGTATATATATACATAAACAATATACCTATCCTTTATCTTGTTATACAAATACAATCACATAAAAAATGGATAAGCAAAACAAGTATACATATAAAAGTGACAAACAAAACATATACATATCTATATAACTTGTGATCTAAACAAGTTGATTAACATTTCACACAAATATAATAACAACTCACAAAATTTGAATAAGATCTTTAATATCAACAAATAAATATATCAAAAAAATACAATAAGATTTTTCTGTATTACCTAATCAAAAATATAAACAACAACAAACCCAAAAAGGTTTATCCACAACCCAAAAATAAAATAATGATAGATATTGTATAAACAAGCAATCACATATCTCATCAATAAATCTAAACCATTAGCAAATATAAATAGAGCATAATGTATATTAAAGATAATCAGTAAAAGAAAAAAGAATATAGTAAACATATTAATCAATATCTCAATAAAATATGATGAACACTCTATTATATAGGCTTCACAACAACTACCAAAACAATAAAATAAGGAACCCAACAAATTAGCAGTCTTATCATCAGAAACATATACTATTCTAGATAGTATCCTAGCTAAGATACTAGGAGTAGATGTAATAACCTTTCACAAGGAATGAATTCTAACTTAATATATTACATATATTTGACAACAAGGTAAAGAAATTAAAGAAAATCTCTTACTATCCTATATTGAAGATAAGCTCATAAAAATTATCAAGAATACTGAAAGTCAACATAAATCAGAGCAATAATTAATAAAGATCATTTAACAAATAGATAATGAATTAATGATAGATAATGAAGTAATAATAATATGTGCATAGGAGATCAAAGAATTGGAATCACAAAAACTTCAAAAAATAGTAAAAAGACAATGCATTAGTAAACATAGCTTCTATACTACTAGTAATAGAAACATGACATCATCAAAAATACTTATTTTATAAAAAAGAAAGGAACTTATAGATTAAGTACAATAATAGTCAATATTCCAGGAGAAACAGAAAATGAAACTAAGGCATATCTAAGCAACACTCTTAAACTTCTACAAGAAAAAAGAAATTTGTTATAAAAAGAGTTTATCAATAAAAATGAATAGTTAGTTTTTTAAGTATAAGAGAAAGAAGATGTTATAAGATGTATTAAAGAAGTTAATTGAAAGAAGGACAACTTTGCCATTCAAAATATAACACCCTTGATCACTTATAAGAAACAAAGGATAGAAAAAAATCTAGATAAAAAAGTTTTTCAAGAATCTAAAACCAAGGAAGACACTATCATCTGGCATGTATATTTAATAGATATGAATCAGAAAAATAACAAGAACCTCATAAAAGTGCATTTAAAAAGATATAGAAAAGTTTAAAACATTTATATCTATGAAGTGAATTTAAAACCACAAGTAAAAGTCTATATCAGATGGTACAAATATCTTAACCTAAATCTGAAAAAAATTTGGATAACTTAAATCAGTACAGAAATGTCAAGAGCTATATTTTCCAAGTCTGAACTTAGTAATAATGAAATCAATTAAATATTAATTAAAGGAAATAATAACTCAGCAAAACTCCTAGGTACTGACAAAACTTACACTAGTCTAATAGTCAGAGCATTGAATGGTATACAAGCTAAGGTATACTATACATCCAAAGATCCCTATATACTTAAGAAACATAACTTTATAGTAGTTTGCTTTAAGACAAAAAAAGAAAGAAACAGGGTATACAAACAATATATATTTTTATAGAGATATCACCTCTTATAGAGTATCAAATACAAATCAAAACAGAAAGACAAAATCCTAAAAATAAAAATAGAAATATAAGAATTAGGTCTCGAAATATAGAAATAGATAATGAATCAATACTTGATTCATAATCAGATAATAAATTATCAGAGTCAATTTCTAATCCAGCAAGTTATCATAGGTTCAAGAATTTGAGACAGATCAGACAGTGAAGCAATAACAGAATAAGGCATAAAAGAAATACTAGAGAAGAATACCCTGCAACAGGAAACAATAAAGAATCAATTAGAAATTAATGAAGCTATAGAAATAGATCTTTTGAAGTTTACACAAGACCTGAAATAGAAAGTACACAAAATTCTTTACTGAATATTCTAGTCAATCTAGAAAGACTACATACTAGAATAGATATTCTAGAGGGATAAACAAGCTTCAGAAGATTAAGACACAGTAATAAGGGAGCAAACCACCTATAAAGGTACACCAGTCCTTGATAGTAATTAAGAGGAGCAACAGTCCATTGCTTCTTTATTAAAAATCACAAATATAGGTAATAAACAAACTTTAAAAAGTAGTAACAAAATAAAAGAGAAGAAGAATATAAATATCGCAACATTTCTATAAAAAGAATAGGAAAATTTTTTTAATAATAGTAGACATAGACTAATAGGAAAAACCAAAGAAGAGGATAAGATCAATAAAAAGGTGACTAGTATAGATATACAATGTTAAAGAAATTACAGATAAAACAAAGCAACAAAATCTAGTTGAAGAGATATTAGAATAAGGAGTAGGTATATTGGCATTATGTGAAACAAAATTGACAGAAGCTAACATACAATAGGCTTTTAATAATCAGAAAGACTACAAATACTTCCATAGCATCAACAAAGACACACTATTTGAGGCAGGAGTCAATCACTTAATCA